TACACCCTCACACCTTCACATTTTTGTACCCTAGGATAAAAATACCCGTCTTGTTGGCTCACAGATTTAAATGTGGAAGGCAAAACAATAAATTTCTGGAATATATATATATATAGAAAATTTCTAACAGGATATAAACAAATAATCATAAAAAATAAATTTGGCTATTTAATACTTAAGAACTTCTATTCATCGAAAGATACCATTAAGAGTTATAAGATGTCAGACACAGAATGAAGGAATATACCTACAAAACATAACTAACAAAGAGCTGGTAACTAGAATATACAAAGAACATCTATAAAAGAATAAGAAAAAGACAGACAACATAAAAATGGGCAGAGACTTGAATTGGTTGTCCAAATAGCAAATAATCACCTGAAAAAGTCCTCAACCTCATTATTCATCAAGAAAGGTCAAGCTCCACCCTGAGATATGGCTACATACTCAACCAGAATGTGTATTGTGAAAATTTGAATAATATTCCAATCCTTAAGGATGTGAAGAACTGGGGAAACTTATGCTGCTGGTTGTGAAATTGGTACAATTATTTTGGGAAATTGGCAGAACCTACTAAAGCTGAACATACACATACCATGACCTCACAATGCTGCTCATATATACCATCCAGAAATGTATACACTTGTGCATCAAGAGACGTGTACAAAATGTTCACTGCAGCAGCATTAATAATAGAAGCTGGAAATTGTCCAGAAGCTTATCAGTAGTAGAATGGATAAATAAACTGTGGTATTTACATACAATAAGAGAATGAAAGAGCTACAGCTATGTGAAAAAGAATATTGTAAATAATACCTTAAAGGAACCAAGTCTAGCACAAAAGGGTCATACTGTATGATTCCATTTATATAAAGGTCAAAACCAGACAACCTATTTTATTCTGCGTAGGGGTGGATACTTATGGTTAAACTATGAGTTGATTATCATAAAAATCTGGATTGGAGGGAGAGACTTTTAGAGGACTGACTGCAATTCATGACCCAACATCGGTATTTGCCTTGTGATAAGTGGTCATACAATTTTGTCTGTGAACTTCTTTTCTCTATGTATGTTATCTTTCCCAACATAAAGGGTTAAGAAATTTGATTTGATGAGTAAGGAAGGGAGAGAGTAAAGCAGGGAGGACACCTTTTCCTTGAAGGGTAGAAGGGCTAGGATCCCTAGGGAGAGACAGGAAAGGGAGGTGCAAAGGGGCAGACAATGCTCAAAGTGGGGGAGGGGCCAAGAGACAAACCACTTCCTTTGCAGTTTTACAGGTTCAAGTCAAAAAGGACAACAGCCACTCAGGGGAGGATTGGTCTTTGGTACCAAGATAACTGCCTGCCTTGGTGTTTCAGAAATTTTGGTACCAACATATCTGCCTCATTATTTCAGAAATCTTTGTCAGTTATGGGAAAGAAAATCTCCCTTTATAACTTCCTTTTTGATGAAAAGATGCCTCTGTATTCTCTTAGACTGTACTAGGTCTGATAGTATCCTGCTTTTATATTGCATAGTTCTTTATTTAGAATCATTTTTTTGTAAACCTTTTAGATAGAAAAACTAGCTCTTTTGTTGGCTTGCTTCAAAAATATGAATGAACTAATTCTAATAATTCTTGATATAAAGCCTCAAGGTATCTAGATGTAAATTCATCCAACTATTTAGGTCCCATTCCTCAGAGGCTTGTTCTTTTTGCTTTTGCCCCTGCTGACTGCGGGTATTATAATTTTTGCCATGGGGTTTAGAGAAGGAGCATAAAGCCTGCAAATGGATACTCCATGGATTTTCACTAAAATAAATGCCTGGAGAGGGGAGACACCATTGAGATCTCATTTCAACAAATGAATACTCTTTCTTTAGATTAAACATTTATACTGGGAAGTGGAGCAGGACACACTATTAGGAAATGATCCTTCCAGTGATTCCGAAGATATAAACAGTTTTCACCTATCCTTTTCTCTGACAAAAAAGACAGCCTGCTCTGTCTGTGTGTGTGTGTGAGAGAGAGAGAGAGAGAAGGTGTTGCTGGGAGCAGGGCGGGAACAAACTTCAACCACTGATTCACCCTCCTGTTAAAAGCTCAGAGGATTCCATTTTATTTATTTATTTATTTTACCTTTTTATTTTTTTTTAAGATTTTATTTATTTATTTATGTGAGAGAGAGAATGAGAGAGATAGGAGCAAGGGCAGAGGGAGAGGGAGAAGCAGGCTTCCCGTGGAGCAGGGAGCCCGATGCGGGGCTCGAACCCAGGACCCTGGGATAATGACCTGAGCCAAGGCAGACGCTTAACCGACTGAGCCACCCCAGCGCCCCCCACACCAAAGTATATCATTTTAGAGGAGAAATGGGTGCCTCCAAGAATTTTGGAAGAATATAGGGATGAAGAGGAAAGAAAGAAGAAGGAGGAGGAAGAAGAAGAAAAAAAAGAGGAGGAGGAAGAAGGAAGAGGAGGAGTTGTTTCTTTATGTCTTTAGTTCAAGTTATCTGCAAATACATACCCTCTTTTTTATTTTGCTGGAATGGCCTCAATATATCTGTATGCTTTTACATGAAACCCTCTGTAGAATTCCACCGCATGTAGAATCCAGACCATATTCAGGGACCTGGATGTGAGGGCTTTCACAGCATCAACACATGTACATGTTAACTCTCACCATGAGGAGTACTATTATCTTATCCGTCAGGAGAACCACCATTTTGTCCTTCCATGGCTATTGCATTGTAGAAAGTCTCCCAGAGACCACACCCACCGTGTGACCGGAACCGATACCGCTCTTTATTGGGTATTAATTTTGACATCAGAAGCATGAAGAACTTAGATTCCATAAGCTCTTCGACCCAGTGATTTTTCTTCCGTGGAGGACTCCCCGTTTCCGCACAAAGCTGGGAGTTAGTGACCCCTGGTTGGTAGTGGTTGGTGCTGTGGTGTAGGTGTGTGTGTGTGTATATGAAGAAAGGGTTTTGCCCACCTCTTCAGGAGGTAGTGTTTGCCTTGCCCTGGGCAGGTGTTGTGAAGTTTAAGAAAACCTGGTGAAACAGATGCCAGGGACACGTGTTACCTAATTTGGTCAAAGAACAAAGAGTGTGTAAAACGTTTGGAAATCCTCTACAGTGCACTGGGATGGGGGAACTTACGGGAAGAGCAGAAACAGAGCAGCACCCAGAATTTCAGAGTAGGATTGCTACACCTCAGAGGGTGAGCATAATGTAATTACGGTAATCCACCCTTATCTGCAGAAAAATGTTTCAAGACCCCCCAGTGGATACCTGAAACCATGGATAATACCAGATTGAACCACCTATACTGGTTATGTATATATCTTATATACATATATTATATACTATATATACCATGTTTTATGCTCTACATACATTATCTATGATAAATTTTAATCTATAAATTAGGCACAATAAGAGATTAACAATCATAACTAATAATTAAATAGAACAATTATAAAAAAATAAATAGAACAATTATAACAATACACTATAATAAAGGTGATATAAATGGGGTCTCTCTCAAAATATCTTACTGAACTGTACTCACCCTTCTTCTGATGATGTGAGATGATAAAATGCCTACCTGATGAGATGAAGTGAGGGGAATGAGGTGTGCATTGAGAGGAAGCTAGGAACAAACTTCAACCACTGATTCACCCTCCTGTTAAAAGCTCAGAGGATTCCATTTTATTTATTTATTTATTTTTTTTACCTTTTTATTTTTTTAAGATTTTATTTATTTATTTATGTGAGAGAGAGAATGAGAGAGATAGGAGCAAGGGCAGAGGGAGAGGGAGAAGCAGGCTTCCCGCGAGGCAGGGAGAAGTTTGACCTTCTGACTGTATCTTAAAAGGAAGGTCATCTATTACCGAAGGAGGTTGACCACAGGTAACTGAAATGGAGGAAAGCGAAATCACAGAAGGAGGCACTACTGTACTATTTCAAATAGTCTGGGTTTTTAAGACCGGATCTTCTGAATTGGAAGCTTAACTGCACTGATTGCTAGGGCTATGTTCGGCAAGCTATTGAGCCCCATTTTCCTTATCTGTAAAATGGGATAAACATTTAATTTGCGAGGCTGTTGCGAGGGTGGACGAGGACAAGGCAGAGTGGGGATTCATTACACAAGGGCTGCTCTTATCAAAAGAAAATTAATATTTTTTTCTTATTCCCAAGACACCTTCGAGATTATTCACGCCTTACTAAGAATTCTGAAACATCTCAGTAGTTTCCTATACCGCATGGATTGTACTCCCGGCTCCCTCATCCACCCCTTGCTCCCCCCGCCCCGTCTAAGGCTGCCGGAGTGGAAGGAACAAGAGGCACGTGGGGGAAGGACGGGGGCAAACCTAGCCCCATGGCCCCTGGCCTCCGGGCACGGTGGGGCCTGTCATGGCGGCCCAGCCCACAGCCTAGGTGATCTCAGAGCCAGAAGAAAGGAAGGTTCTGGGGGTCAGTGCCTCCCAGACCCCAGCCCCGCCTGCGCTCCGCTAGACAAGCCCTGCGGGAGCGCGGCTCACATGGGTCCCCGCCTCCAGCGGCGCGGGCCCGCCCTGACCCTGGACTCAGCCTCGCGCTCGGGTGCCCACCTGAGGAGGTGGCGGGCCGAACCTAGCGCGCGGGCCGCCGAGGGCCGAGTCCCGGCGACGCGGGACCTCCGCCAGAGCCCGGGCGCGTCCCGGGCCGCGTGCGGGGCCGGCCCGGCGCTCGGCGCCCTCCCCGCCCCCTCCGCGCCTCGCCCCGCCGCCCGCGGCCCCCACCCACCGGCCGCTCCTCCCCTCTCCCCACCCTCCTCCTCCGCCCCCTCCCCTCCCCCGCCGCCTCGCCGACTGCTCGGCCGCGCGTCTGAGCCGCCCGGGCCCTGAGCGCAGGCGGCGAGGCCACCGCACCTGCAGCGCGCTCGGGCTGCCAAGCAGGCGCTTCGCCTCCCGCCGCCGGGCCTCCCTCTACCCCCGCGCCGGGTCTCCCGTGACACCCGAGACCCCCCCGGCCGACGACAATGACCACTTCCCTGCAAGATGGGCAGAGCGCCGCGGGTAGGGCGGCTGCCCAGGACTCGCCGCTGGCCACCCAGGTGTGCGGCGCTGCCCAGGGGAGGGGCGACGCCCGCGACCTGGAGCCTGCCCCCTGGTTGCACGCGCGGGCGCTCCTGCCCCCTCCGGACGGGACCCGCGGCTGTGCTGCAGACAGGTAGGCAGCCCTCGGAGGGCGCGGGGGAGTGTCCTGGGTTGGCAGCCGGCTAGGGGCTGAGGAGGCGGTCCTAGGGGGTGAGCCATGTGCCCAGAGCTGGGCCAAGTTTGTGAAAGTCTCTGAAGACAATTCCCTTTGAGCTGGCTCCTACCGGCTCAGCAGGACATTGCGATCTCCCAGCGCCTTATAAATAGCATCACCGTTTCATTGAGAGCTCCTGGTCGCTCTCACCTCTGCCCATCCGTGTGAACTAGGAGGCCAGGCTGATCACCCCCTTTTCCTCTCTTCGTGGCCCTGCACCAAAAAAAAACCACACACACACACACACACACACACACACACACAAAACAAACAAGCCCCCCCAACCCAACCCAACCAAAACAAAACAAAACAAAATAACCTGATCCTTTTTATTTTATAAATTTAAAAAATCATCGCATAAATGAGTTCACCTCCCACATAGAGTCTTACAGCGACCCTGGAGAGGCAAAGCACGGATTGACATTTGAGCAGTCTTGCTGTTCAGCAGGAAGAATAGAGGCTTTAAAAGGTTTCCCAAGCTCCATAGCATTCAGCACTAAGTGCCTTTAGAGTTCACAATTTTGCACATACTTTAGGAAAGAAAAAGACTGCAACAATACAAAAATCTGTGGTCCTTTATATTCATACATTGAAATGGTACTTTTTTTCCTCCAGATTTTCAAAGTGCTTCAACTTCACTGAAGTTAAAATTACTCTGCAGTGGACTAGAGTACATTTATACTAGCAAGTTCTATTCACTTACCTCTTCAAAAAACACTGCCTTGCGGTTTAGTATCTATAAGCACTTGAAAAATCAACAGACTGTGTGTGGGCAACATTGTGAATGAAATTTGAAGTGAGATGAACCACAGCTATAATTAATAAACCATAACTTCCAAAAGTGATTAGTAAAATAGCATAGGGATGAATTCACTAAATGTTTGTAGACTTTGTCGATTTAATGGATCCATAAAAATGTTTAACTTCTCAGGATGGTTTTTGCATCAATAATTATATAGTCTGTATTTCAGGTTAGGAAAATTATCAAAAATGCTGGAAATGGGGTTTCTATACATAGTGATTTTTTTTAAAGGTCTCCTCAAAAAAGATAAGAATACTGTAGAAAATTGGTTTATATCAATTAACAAATTTTGTTTTGACCCACAGAAAGTACATCACAGACCTTTGCTGTAAACTTTATATAATATTAGTGTTGTCACAGAGTGGTGCATGTTGGCCCTTAACTTCTTAATCCTGTCAGCAATTATATTTTACATTCTGCTTTATGTAAATTACCTCCTATGTTCTCTTGGTGTAGGAGAAAAAAGAAAGATCTTGATGTTCTGGAAATGCCATCTATTCCAAACCCTTTTCCTGAGCTATGCTGTTCTCCATTTACATCTGTGTTGTCAGCAGGCCTGTTTCCCAAAGCAAATTCAAGGAAAAAGCAGGTATGCATTTTAAAATTTTCTAATTCAAAAATCTTAGGAGTTCTAAATCCATATAGTTTTTTAAGATATTCAGTAATTTATAATATTAACAAAGGAGTGGTATGGCCTATTCTAAATGACTATTAGCTGACAAAGTTTTTGGCATCATTTTCCTTTGAGGCCTCAAGTTTTCACAGCTGTAAAATGGGAATATTAAAATTTACCTACCAGGCTTTTGGGATGGGTTAAATGAGAGAATATATGTAAAGTCCAGAGTCTGGAAGCTATTATTATTTACAGGGTAGGCGGGAGAGTTATATTTGACAACAGATTATCAATGTTAGTCAGAAATCGGAGGAGGGTATGGGGTGAGAAAGGGATTGGCTGATTTCTTTAATACCTTCTTTAATGTTCCACATTTTCGGCCCAAGCCAACCTCACTTACTAAAGGAAAATGGTATAGTGATTCTGTAGCAGAAGGTAATTGGAGTTGAGAACTCAACATGACTTCTTCACCAGTGAATTCCTCAGTTTGGAGGCTTCTGGCTACAGAAGTAGATGACTTCTTAGTGATGATTAGAAGATGGACTTTACTTTTATGATTTTGCTTGCTTTCTTAGTTTCTAGTTTGAGACTGACTTAGGCAAATTAGATTTCAAGGACCCAGCAATTATGGGGAGATCCATCATGATTATACATTTTGAAAAAAAAAAATTAGTGTATCCGAGAGTAATCCCATCTCTTCTTAATATATTCCCTCCCAATTCTGAATCAGCAAAACAGAGAGGCTTCACTAGGCAAAATGTACCTTGCTCTTGCAAGGATAGAAGCAATAAATTTAAACAGTCAGATACGTGCAGTGAGGAGAGGGGTAATGAGTGGAGAGAAGACATTTGATCGTTTCCCCACGTCTACTGTTGTCTTTTCTTTTTTCTGTACTTTTACTACCTATCATGGGTTCAATAATGTATGTTTACGGTTTTGGGAATGAAGGAAATACCCTAGGGAATGGATGGGTTCTTGATAACATAAAGCAATAATAAGGACAGAAGGGCAGCATTCCATGGACTGTTGGGCTTTGATAGAAGTCTGGTATAACAAGGCGCATATATGCGCATATATATATATATATATATATATATATATATATATATATTTTTTTTTTTTTTTTGAGGGGGGCGGTTTGAAGTTTAATTGGTGCATGTGCTTTTTGGAAAAGGACTGGAGAAAGTGGGAGTAAATATTCCCGGAGCAGAGGTATGTTCTCAATTAGAGACTTTGATGGGGGAGGCAAGTCCTTAAGTGGGCGGGACTGTGACTTTGGATGAGGAGATGAACAAGGAGGAGATTCTTGAGAGCTTTATTATCAGGATGAGTTTTAAAGTCAGAGCCCAAGTGAAAAACAGCCCTGCTGAAATGTCTGGGCCTTTTAAGAGCTTGGCTTTTGGGTCAGGATATAAGATGAAAATATGAAAAGGATATAAGATGATAGATTTGATCGTGTGTCATGATGGTAGAAAAATTGATGATTGCCCTTGGGATCCAGAATGGGAAAAGGAAATGTCTGATGATGATGTAATAGTCAGCTGGGGAATTTAATAGACTATTTCCCTATTTATGGAGGGCCTGCTGTGTTCCTTGCACCATCCTAGGTTCTGGGGCACTGAGCTAAGCAAAAAAAGCCATACAAAGGGTGCTTACCATGATGGGGTTTTGATTTGGATTTGGGTTATGACTTAGGAGATGAACAGTGGAAGGGGAGTAGAGGAGGAGGGGTCTGGGCTGATTCCCATTTTAATTTCTAGAATGAACACTGGGAGAATGCCTGTGTCTAAGAGATGTCAATGGGGCAAGGTTTGTTTTGAATAGAGAGAAAATATGTTAATAGAGGGAGGAAAAAAAGAGAGGGTAGGTGTGGGTGTCAGGGTGTGCCCTAAGGGAGTGTAGTCATCATCCTGGAGTAAGACATCTTGTCTTGGGGAATGATAGCATTTCTTCGGCTCTGGTTTAGCAAATTGGCAAAGGGGGAAAAGGGTGCTACGTTGCTCTTGACTCCAGCTGGTTTCCTGCTCTGGCCTTGTGTCCTCTTTCCACAGTCAACTTCTCAGAGACCACTACACCCACACAGACAGCAGTGCTCTTTCCTGAGCAGAGAGTTCCGGCCCGCCTCCTGGAGGCCAGTCCCAGAGGGGTGTTCTCACCCAGGAAGGGCCCTTTGCCCGAGGGTTGGGATCTCTATGAAGAGGTGATGTCCCAAAGTTGGGGAAGAGGAAGGTTCCTTTTTACACTCTTTCATGTTTCCCACCCACACTTTGCATTTCGAACAGATCCTTTGTTTTTATTCCTTTCTACATGCTCAGTTCTTTGGACTGAATGATGCTTTGGAAACAGCTGACTCTTTGTCAGTAATTTCCCAAGCTCAGTCTCTTTGGGACACAGATGACCCTTTTACTAGATGGTATTTCTGGCCCGATTATCTCTGACCTTCACTTGAGATGATGTACATGACTGGATGTGATAGGTTTCTATTGACTATTATTTATGGTTGACACATTACAGGAGCTGATGTCTCTTTTCTTTATATTCTCTCTTTCATTTGTTTTGTTTAACCATTCCAGTCGTTTTAACAATTCTTTTCTCCCTGTAGAAAAAGTGAAGAATTGTGCCTGTTATTTACGAATAATTGACCAGAAAGTTTGAGAGAATACAGACTAGACATGTTAGATTTCATGTGGCCTTTCAAAGCCACAGTCAAAAATCATTTTACAGGCCATAATTTTTTTTTTTTTTTTTATAATTTGAGACACCTACATAATGCATGAGTGGTAAAGCGCACTGAAGCCACAAATAGGATATGCTTTATCCCTGAAAATAAAAATGTCTCAAAGTATATAATACTTACTGTAGGCTTCCAGTGTTTTTCTTTTAAAATAAGAGCTGGAATGAGATAGAATATGGATTCTTTATTCTCTCTCCTTCTTGTTATAGTACTGGCCAGATATATTTCCTAGACATATTTCCTTGTGTTTACCAATAAAACAGATTTAAAGTAGATTCCTTTATATACGTGGTCCAGAAAAATTACTTGCAATTTAAACTTTATATTAAAAGTGACTTAACTTATGAATTTAGATCTCTCTTCCCCCCTTTTTTTTATTTCTGATTGAAATTTACCAGGAAATCATCCTTTAGCACTTACTATTTGGAGAAAGGGAAAGAATAAGAGATCCTTGGCCCTTGCAGAAGAAATCAGTTCTTGTCTTGTTTGTCTACCTTCAGGTAATTTTTGTGCTGGGACTCAGCTTGTGCAGTAGGTGTGGTTAATTGCTTCCCAGGCATTTGTAGTGCAACTAATTCAAAATAAAGTATCTGAAGATTTAAAAGATAAAAAGATACCCATGAAAAACTGTGTTGTGGAATGTTTGAGCTGGAAGAGAACTTTGAGGTCATCTAGTTGAATGCTCTTTTACAGATTAGTAAACTGAGGCTAAGAAATTCTATGTGGCTGACGGTGGCATAGCGAGGACCTGGAATCTGCATTTCTTGAGGCTTTAAAGAGTATTTTTAAAGAAGGTCCAATTTCCTCAGAAGTCAAAAACTGTAAGAGTAGCACAAGGAATAAATATACCAGAGCAGGGGTGACGGTACCATTAGTTAATACTCATTTAAGGACCTAGATTCTTCTTTTATTTTTTTCCTTCTTCAACTCTAACTATCTCTGTGTTTTTATCCTTTAGCTTTCTTCTCCACCTTCTCCCTAAAATTGATTTGAAAAATTTACCAAATAATTGGCTTATCACCAAATAGGATTTACTATATTACTAATAACCAGCTTTTGCACGTAGTTTACAGTCCACAGTTAGAAGAACACCAAAAAGTGGTCTCTTATCCACATTTTATGAATTTTTTGAAAAGTGCAAAAACCAGAAATGATTTGCCCGTACTCTCACAATTTAAATAAAGGAAGCTCAAAAGGAGTATCATGTCTGAATGTGCTTTGCCCCTTACCACATTGTTTCTGATCTATTCTGTATTGAATTAAGCCTTTTTGTACATCTCAGAAAAAAATATCTTTCAAATAATTAAGAAATTACTTTTCCATATGCTCTGCTTTTGATTTCTTTTTTCTCTCACATATCAGGAACTATCAAAAGACAAATTCATCTCTCCCCAAGTTAATGGGCCTCTGATGTCATTCCTTTGTGTTGCTGGTAATTAACCCAATTTGCATAGTCCTGTAGGAATCTTGCATGGCTGCTACATTAACCAAACTCTCGTATACTCATTTCTCCAATATTCACAGAAGTAGAAAGCAATAAATTATAGTCTCATATTCCCATTTTCCAGATTCAGTAATTAGCAAGATTTTGCTTCATTTACTTCATCTGTTCCTTTTTGAAATTTTTATTGTCTTTGTTGAAGTATTTTAAAATAAATCCTGAACATCCTCTCATTGCGTCCCTGCCTAGTTTTGTATGCATCTCTGAAAAATATATTTTCTCCTATAACCAAAATGCCGGTATTGTCTAACAAAAATAACAATAGTTCCTTGGTATCATAATCAAATTATTTCAATAGGAATGATACATAAAATCCTCAGATTATAAACTGGTTATATTTCAAAAGTCCTTAAATTAGCTCTTTGGAAATTTAAATTCATTTTCAGATGGAAACAACATCATAAGTTGCATTTCAGCTCCCCCAGGCCGTTTTACAAAATCCCATTTAATGTGAAATGAAATGCAAATATCTTATATGTGCAGAAAAAAAATAAATAGAAACAATATTTGCTCCTATTAGGGTTTCAAACAAATATGTCTTTCCAACAGCAATTTTCTACTTCTGAATGTTGGCACTTGATGAATATCATTTTTCCTGGGAGGAATTTGAAAGTACACAGATCTTTATAGCAATATTGAAGCAGGCTTTAGAGGAGTACTTCTTAAAGGGTAGTCACTGGACCACCTCTCGAAGAATCAGCAGGGATGCTTGTTAAAAATGTTGGTACTTAGGCCTCTTGC